GGAGTTTCTACTAATCCTATCTTAAATATATGCGAATTGGTTGTTAAAATGTGATGATTTATTCTGTATTGTAACCAGTGTAACTTAGAATTTTTCGAAACTTGAAAGGGTGTTTTATATATACAATTCCATGTTTCATCATCTAGATTAAATATTTCATTCCACTTTATTTTACCTGTTGCTGTGATATTATTTTTGCAGAGTATTTTGTAGAAGTCCTTTGACCCTTTAATATTTTTAAAGAAAATTTCAAGATTAAGTGGAATAAAAGGATAACTAACAACATCATTAACTATTTCCTTATGCCTCAGATATTTCCTTACTGTTCTAACTATTCCTTCAAAGGTAAGGAAATTTGTTCTTAGGTCATATTTCTCCATAAATTCCCGATAATTATAAAAAGTACTTGTTTTCGGGTCTTTTATTATATCATTGACAATAATTACTCCCTTCTTATACCATTCTTTATAAAATACAGTTCTATTTTCTATTGTTAAAAATTTATTATGCCAAATAGGTGTTTTCAGTATTGTCCTATTCCAATTTATCAAATTTTCTTCCTTATCATGGAGGGTTTTCCAGGAGTTTAGGACATCTTTCCAAAATGGATTCTTGCATTTTTTTTCACAGATATATAAGTATTCTGATCCACAGTTAGCCATAATATCTATATCAATATTTTTGTTAAGTATACATTGCCATTTATTAGATTTAGAAAATAATCTCCTGATCCATGTTAGTTTTAATGCCTTAATGAAAGAACGAGTATGTATCATCTTTAGCCCCCCTTCTGCATAGTCTTTTATGGTAATATCCCTTCTTACTTTGTCAATTTTTCCACCCCAAAGAAAATGATACAGTTCTGAATTTAGTTTTTTAATGAAGTGTTCATCTGGATTTGGCAAGGATATAAAAAGATGATTAAATTGTGAGATTCAGGAAGTTCTTTATCTTATATTGTTCCGTTGGAAAGCACCGTTGGATTAAAGGCGAAAACCTTAAGTTAACAAAATGTCAGCAACGCGATAAAATGGAATGCAATTAGTTAATTGAAGGGTCTATCAGGAATGCCCCACGATTTCACATTCAGATATATCAACGATTTACTGTCTTTAAATATCAAGAAATTCATTGACCACGCCGACTTTATATACCCTTCTGAGCTTGAAATCAAAGACACTACAGACTTTTCTACTCTAGCTGCTTTCCTCGATCTTTCGGTACTAAACTGCTTGCGCCTTAAATCATTATATTCCTTTATTTAGGTGTCAATTGTTGACGGACAAACTTACAACACAGTGTTTCGAAAGATGCAGGTCGGTGAAGATTATGGACAGGTCTCATGGTCGCCATCACAATCTCATTAGGGAATGTATTATATTTTGTGTGATTTTTTTTTTATTATGCTCATTAGTTTGTCTTGTTGATTCGTTATCACTTCCCTGGTTCTTGCAAAGAGGATGTTGCATTAGTTGGATTTGACATATAAATAAACAATTAAATATCTATATTTAATTGCATTTATGTTGTGTGCTTGTGGTTTTAATTTTAATTTAATAAATTGTTATTTACATGTGCTTTATTTCAAGCGCGTGTAGCCAACATGATGACGCCTGGCGGGAGTTTCTGCATATAGGTCACGTGACTCCAACAAAACGACTGAGAAGAAAGAGCAAAGGCTAAAGGTAAAAAGCCATTTTTATTTGCATACCCAGCACCTCCCCTGTCTCCACTAGGGTGAGATTATGTGGTATTCTATGTAATTAATTTTAACATGGCCTTTGCTCTTTAGTATGAAATTTTTTCGCATCAGCATTTTGTTATCAATTTGCATTTTATGTCATGTTCATCATATTACCTCTCTCTGTTATGAAGGTTTAATTATTATGTAACAGTGTCTATGTAATTATTTTTTACATTGTCTTTGCTCACCTTAACTAGTCAAACTTGTTTTTACATTACTTTGGCTAATACGTAATGTTACGTACTGCTATATGTACTGTTTTTACGAAAAGTCATATGAAGTTATGTAATGTCGTTATAATAAACGGCCATTACAACGAAAATACATTTGTTCCTGAATGCAAAAATTAACACCGGCAAATAATCCATTGGTGTTTTTTCCAACAAGATATCTCAACTTCCTTTTAATATGTGCCTAAATAGCAGCATAAGGTAGCAGTGTAAAGTAGGCCTGATCCTTAACATAAAGGGCATGTCCCTGATACACATGGATATGGATTCATCCTGAACAACAAACCTGCATATAAACTACATTATAAATACATTTTGTTTGGAAAAACATTGCAAAAGCTATATGTTTGTACCTGTCCACTGGCAGTTTTGTACCCTGGCTACTGCGGGATAGCAGCCAATCGTCCACACTCTGTCTTCGTGGTGGTTGTCATGGACACTAGAAAGATGGCGTAAAGTAGTAGCTTCTGGACAGGAAAAGGCCATATGGCGGTCGTAGTTATTGACGATGAATGCTGATGTCAAAGAAAGACCAGCAAGCAGAATACACACCATCATCTGAATAACAGTCAATTAGAAAATTAAAATCCTGACAGAGAAAGGTATTTCAAAAACGACAAATTGAAAGGTTCTTTATCGATATTCGAGGTTCATCTAAAAACAGTGCAAACATATTTGATTGATCAATATAATAATTATGTCGTAATTTAAGTTTTCTCAATATCAACAATTTACCAATTTACAGGAGAAATCATCAATACCATCTTTCTACCCCCCCCCCCGCCCTTTATCAACAGGATATAGGTTTGAGAGGATTATGTCAATTTGCAAGTCAATGGTATAAGGGAGATAACTCAAATTGTTTATAGAAATCTACCCTACTACACTATCTGACAGAAACCAACACAATACCAAAATAACAATTCATTTGCAATTTATTGTATGTAGCTCCTAATCGCCGGCAGTTTTTACAGATCAAATTTGCTCACATTCCACACATTTCCGTACCTTCGTTATGAATTAACGTCAAACCATTCCATCAAATCATTACGAATTTCTAAAGTTTTTTAATATACAAAAAGGTGTACATTTCTTATTTAATAACAACAATCATGTGTACTGTCGGTACGACTATCGCTGAATGATCCGACAGTCACATACCGCACACCCAGCACGTGCGATACCCGACTTCAACGCTCTCTATCAGAAGGTATGTCACCGGAGGGAAAACAATTTTCGGCTTATTCTGTTCCACCAAACTCCGAAAAATATATACCTCGCCAGGGTAATGAGTGAATATTAGCCATTGTCTATCACCAGATCCTCGCTGGGAATTCCAGATCCACAAAAAGTGACCCGTAGTTAGTTAAATATTAAGCTTATATAAATAGGATATTATGAATATAAGCTATGTCAATCTTAGTTTAAACCATATTCTATTCATATCAATAAACATGTACAATTACATAGACATTTCATTCAGATGATTGGGAAACAAGTACTATTGTGATTATACATATACATGTATAACAAGCTTTGCTGATAAAACATGTATATCTTTGCAGTGATAGCCTAAATATGTACACAAGAAACTGTGAAGAGAAACAGATAGCAAATGATATAAGGGATACATATAATTTTACCCGGTTGGATGGGAAGTTAAGTTTACATGATAACTTTATGTGGTTGAATTATAATTGCTTGTAAATATTCTGGTTGATTTGATAAAATTTTGAGTAGCTATAAAAATGTGTACATTTTGATTATATGTTTTTGATACATCACCAAACAGTAATAAATCAAAACTTAATTGGTAAGGCAATGGAGTCAAGTATCTTTGGCGTGATTCAATGTGATTAGTACAATATAGCAAATAATGGGAACTATCTTCTACAAAATGTCCACATGAACATAAGGGATTGTCAACAAGATNAATTAAAACAAATCTCCTCATGAATATTATTCCAATCTTGATGGGCATATTATCATTCACATTATAATATGTTAAACCTGTAATTATACAACATTTTTTATCAATTACTTATCACATTTGTGTTCAATTGTAAATGGTTAATGATATTGATAACAGCCAGAAATAGATAACTAAGCTTATTTGATGTCAGAAGTTCTTTCAACTTGAATATTCATGTTTACAATATTAATACATTATAGTTTATCAATAAGTAATTTTATTTATATAAACCTTTTTGAGTTTGCGATAGAGGTTGAAACACTTTCTAGGATATTCTTATTAGATTCATTGTCACATTAATTACAGCCATGAAGTATAGTATATGTAGAGTACAGTACGAGTGATTATCATTGAGTAGGGAAGCTGAGAATAATTGTCTGAGAGTGTTGTATCTTGCACATACAAAGAAGTAATGCTGACTTGTTTCTTGTATATAACCACATTCAGATACAGCAGATTCTACAATACGGAGATCAAAATTTAAGTTGGTAGCATTATTTCTAATTTGACATAGAATCATATTGATTTTTCGTTCACTAGTTGTTTTTTTTACCACTGACTGAGTATCATTAGCTGGTATGTTACTAGTTTTGTTAATTAGCTTCTTAAATTGGGAATGGGTTGAGCATTTAAAATATTTGGGTCTAACTGATCATGAAATTGAAAAGATGAGAGAAAGTAACTATTGAAGTAACTCTCCGTTCTACATATTTGGGGGTTAAAAACTCTATTTAATCTGATCTGATATCTCATATTGGTTCATCTTTTTCATTAAGGTACTTTGGTGATGTATTATGCAATACTTTATACGTTAAAATTAATTAATATTTTTCCCATCCTAATTCTCATTGTATAAATGATGCGATGTACCTCTACGAAGCTCTGTCATTAGAAGCATCTAGTTTGACTGTTTCTAATAATATTTATGATTGCTCAGTGCAATTATTCCCCACTACATTTGCATATTCTATAATTGGTATGATATAAGATATATACATAGTGTTAAGTGTTCTTCTATCAAATGAGGTTTTAAGGCTTCTTAATATATTAATTATTTTATATGCTGTATCATAAATATTTTGGATATGTTGATCCCATTTACCATCTACGTTAAATGTAAGACCTAAATGGTTATGGTAAGTACTGTCAGTTAGTTGTTGATTAGAGAAGGAGATTGGAGGGTGGTTAGTTTCTTTTCTCCATATGTGAAGATCATACTTGTAGTTATGGATACATTAAAATTTATATCCCAAGATTTAGCCCAAGAACATATATTATGCAAGTCAGTAGTGATATTGTGTGCTGCCTGAATAGGCTTATCATCAGCAATAATATTGAGGGAGGTTTCATCTGCAAAACAATTTATTGACTAGTAACTTTATTATTGATGTCATTAATATAGAGAAGGAAGAGAAATGGATCAAGGACAGACCCCTGAGGCACTCCTGCACTGATACATTTAAAGGTTGACTGATGTCCTTCTGTAATAACACTTTGTTTTCTCTCGAACAGGTAGTTCTTAAACCATGCCAGTATTTCCCCTTCAATTCGATAAGTTTCTAATTTATATATTAAACCGTCATGCCAACCCTTATCAAAAGCTTTACTAACATCACAGAAAACAAATCTTACCTCTTAACCTTTATCTAAACTATTCATAAAAGTGTGATATATAGATAATAACTGATTCACAGTCACCAGGCAGGAAGCCTGACTGGTGCTCAGTAATAGTTTCAGCTGCTACAAAGTAGTGATAAGGTACTTGAAGATACTTTTTTCAGTAACTTTACTGAAACAGAATGTAATTGAGATTGACCTATAATTACTGACATTATTTTGGAACCCCTTACCCTTATATATTCCATTAACATTTGCAAGTTTCCATGATGCAGAGATATATCCAATTCCATCGGGTTTTTTTAAAATAGTAATGTTAGTATATATAATATTCGGGGTATAATTTTTTTAATAACTTTTTTCAAAATTCAGGGAATTTATTTGTATGTATTAAACGAAATCAAATATGTTTTATGAGAGTATCATTAGGCCCTGCTGGTTTGTTATCAGTTAGTAGTTTAAGTTGGTCGATTACATCTTGTTCAGATATATATTAATATTTTATAATTGAAAATGATAATTATTTATAGTAGGTGGCAGTGGGTCAAGATTAGAAGATGATGTTGCTATTGAGGTAAAGTAATCATTTAGTTATTAGCTTTATCCATAGGATGTTGGAGAGATATACCATTATGATCGAGAGGAGAAATGGTTATCAAAATTTGGTAAGACTTTTCTATTTTCCACCACTTAGATGGGGGTAAGGATTTATCACTCAGAGATCTCTGTAGTTTTTTAAGATAATCCTTTCTCATTTTTCCTATGATTTCAATAGTATCATTTCTATTATTTCTATATTTCTATATTTCCAGTGGTATTGACTAATAGTTTATTTCGCTTTTCTATGGATCCTATTTTTTGTCTTAGATTTAATCGGATTTCGTTATTTTCCCATAGGTTATGATCTGGATGTATCGTACCTACTTTTGACGGAATAAAATTGCTTATTTGTTGATTAATATTATTGGTAAGTATCTGGTTATATTCTTATGGGGTACTATTTTGTGAGTATGTCACCAAGCCAATATCTATTAGTGGTCTATTCCGTTTGTCAAAATCAACATTATCATACATTAATATCGTCTTTTTATAACACCTATGTTTGAAGATAAAGTAGGAGACTGTACTATGTATAGGAGAGTGTACTATGTATAGGAGAGTGTACTACAGAACTGAGGACGTGTACATGTATTCTGAATGATTCTAGTATCATTAGAAAAGACAATATCTATAGAGGTTGAACTATCAGGAGAGATACTTGTCGGTTTATTTATTAGACTGTAGTGAGTAAGAACTATACTGAGATGTTAGTTGGGACGAAGATTTAACATGTCAATATGTATGTCGTCTGTTAAGATTATGTCCAGTGAAGTATCAACAGCTTTATCCAATAATTATATAAATATCAAGTTGTGTCCAGTATTCCACATTAGTTTCCGGTCTATATACCCATCCTAATAAAAATCTATGAATACCAATATGTAATTCTATCCAAACTAGTTCAACATCATCATGCTCCAGGTCTAAACTTCTTTTAATCTGAACAGTATTTTTGATAATAAATCAAAACACCACCCCGTCCTATTTTGTCTATCTTTTCTATATGCTTCATTTGGAATCAACTATATCAAGTTTGTTCCTTTCAGACCTAAAATTGAGATGAGTGATTTCAATATTTTGCATGGGGCCAGGGTTGAGCTCAATGCATTTGGCTAGAAGATGGATTTTATTACTAACATTATGAGTTTATCTATTATAACCAATTATAAAAATAATGCGACACTGTAGTAAGGGATAATTACTCTGCATGTGTATATATTATTCAAGCGCATAGGAATCATATTATATACCCCCCCCCCCCCCCTTACTGCCCAGAAAACTCTGATAGTTACTATGTTGGAACTCAGGTAGCTAGCCTAAGTGTCTATTTTACTGTTTTCCATGTGTACTAGTATTCCTTTATTGTCATCCTTTTGTAACTAAAGGCATGGTACGCCTACTCTATTGGCGTATGTAACCGCTATCACTGGTGCAGTCTACTTGTTTACATTGATGAACCTTTGTGACGACCGGATTTTGGGGAGATACCGAAAGAGGTTCCGAGCTCACTGCACATACTTCATAGATTAATCAAATCAGAATAGGTATCCGGTAATGTTACATAGAGCCAGGATGCTGGGGTATAAAAGGGGATGCACGGGCTCTACACTGATAGATAAGTCCTCTTGTCCCATCGGCGTGACTTAAGTTAAGTTGACGCGGGTATGAGGAGAAGCTAGGCCAGTTGTGCTTCTGGACTTACGGTACGATATTTAAGGAATTTTAGGAATAATTAAATCTAAATTGATACAACGATATCTAATTATTTGTCACAAAACATGGGGTAGTTCCAATATTTGAATAAAAATTTCAATAACTATTAAAAACAAATAATTAAACCTCAAAGTATAGTTGAGAATTAAAACACAAATATATTTATAAAGGGTTAAGTTAGGTAGGAATAACGGGATAAGCGAATCTTGAACTAATAATCAGTATCTGTTTATCTAACACAGTTAATATGGGAAATCAAAATACTCAAACCAATTTTATAAAACAAATAACACAGCGATGCTATAACTTATAAAACATAATATATACACAATGCATGTAGACATGAGCACATACATATCAAAGTAAAAACACCAACCCCTAAGTATCCTCCCACAAAGAACCAATCCTCCTCCCCCAAACCATCTCCAACACCACTCCGGTCCATACAACTAGCACTCGTTAAAGCCCATAAACCCATCGGCACATTTCTTTGAAACCCATCACTTCTTTCAATCTCCAACCCCTCCAGCTCCCATCAATGTTATAACCAAACAATAACACTACCCCCCCACCCTCACCCCCCNGACGAGGTTTTTAAGAAAGATGACATTGGTAAAAGTACAGTCAACTGTATTTTTAGTGACGAATGATGAAGAGCGGATTACATTGACCGGACAACAAAAAAACCCAGCACATGCATGACTCTAACCAATAACATACAGTCCGTCGGATGGGACTATAAATAGTGGCCCGTGTGAGAACTGTCCCAAAAGATCCCTCTGAGTTTTTCGAAAAAGAGAAGGCGAGTAAACGCCGACACAGAGGATAGTGTAAGCTTTATTCCAAATTTTCGGCCGTTAGAACTAGGGTCTCTTTATAAAGACATTTAGAAGGACTTTGAAATTATATATACAAGCCAAATTCATAGAATAGTTAGGAGCTGGTGTTAATGTTGGCGGCTTTCTACCTCACTACCGGCCCAGACATGGTGCTGCCATACGACTAGTGTTAGCATAAGGCAACATTAGGCCTAGGAGCTGTCTTACAAAAACTAGACTTATATAAAATAAACCATCCTAGTATCATATTATGGGTATTATAGTAAAGATAATCTCGGTCAGAAGTGGGAGAATACATGTAAGAGTTTAGGTCAATGGTAACCACAGGGGTCCAGTGTAAAAATAGATGGCAGAGATTAAAACTGAATAACATCCGAGTGGGTGAAAATTACTGTTTTAGGGCAATTTGTTGTTATTGGATAATCTAAAATGCCAACAAATGTTAACATATATTATATTTTCCCGCCTTTTCTTCGTCATATTTGGACCTATCTTTAAATGATTTGTACCTATCTTCAATTGAATTGTACCTATCTCCAATTGAATTGAACATATCTTCAATTGAATTGAACATATATCTTCAATTAAATTGCATCTGCCTTCAAATATTTGAATAGTTGTTTTTCTAATGAAAAAAGAAAATGTCTGAAGTATAGATATGAAGACTTGCACAATAATATAGGGTATTTACATACATCAATATGTTATAAATAAATGACATTTGATAGAGAATTAATTACCTTTCTATTGCTGAACGCACCCATTTCAGTTGGTTCTCCCGGCCAGTTATAATGTAAGTCCAGCGGCCAACTCAATTTGCACTCTTCTCAGAAGGGCAGTCTTTCCGGAACATGCCACAACCTTTGCTCTTCTGGGAATACCACTCCTCGAACTAACACGATTCGTTTGCAACGCGTGTTTTGATTGGATACGGACCATGTTGTAATCTGCGATAGAATCATGATCATTCGTGTTAAGCTCCTCCCATCGCACTTAAGTCACGCCCCGTTTCTAACCAAAATAATATGGCGTCAAGTTCGCCTTTAAGCGATATCCCGCTGATAAGGCTAGCAGGCAACAGAACAGAAACGACCGATGAAATGCATTTGTTGAATGAACATAGACATTCCTTGTTCTTTCCTCCATTTATTACTGAAACGTTCGTTCTATTCGTATGAAGGCATCTAGTTAGATCCGAAATAAAATGAAACATTTCTCATTTGTCGTATGAATTTATACAAAACTCTTCACAAATCTATACAAATAATCACCGATTTTGTCGATAAGCACAGATTTGTATGCATACTGACATGGAAATGTAAGCATTTGGTCAATGTCGATCCAAATGTGTCGTATAAACTTTGGTCTCGAGTTCAAACCAAATTTCATGTTCTAATCGCCGGTATAGCCACTCAAACCAACGTACTATCTCCTAATTCTAAATTAGAATTACAAAGCAACATGATCAGAGAGAGGGCTGCATTGAGTGGGAGATAGCTATAAGACAGCTGGCAATACAAGATATAAATTCAACCATCCCGTATACGGCTGAAAATTACAGTTTTTTGCCGATAGGTGTACAGATTTTCCATAGATAGGGTACAGATTTTCCCCCAATAAATGCTGGTCTGGTACATCAAAGGAGGTGCAGTTAGCCCCTGGAATGAGTGTGAAGTAAGCCAACCCTCATGATTAGTTTGTGATGTCTTGCATCATAGAGAACTGACCAGAGACCGGACTCTTCTTTGAAACTTAATACCATTTATCACCTTTGAGCTTAAAAATGACAATCTGTCTTAAAACAATAAAGGAGAAATACAGAAAACATTTTGCAGCAAGACCATACGGGTTGGCACCGATTTTCCCGATCAAGTACGGATTAGCGCCTATAATGTAAGTGTTGTTCAGTAGCAGTTTTAACCCTGTCTTTGTAAATAAAGTCTATATGCAGTCATTTAGAAATATTGTGAGTTATGCCTTTAGTAGTCATGACCACTGAAACTTTTAATACAACATTTTAATATTTACCATGAAGATATGTGTAATACATATACATACAATACCGGTAAAATATTTGAACCTCTATCAATATCCATACATCTTCTCAAAATAATAACGGTTTAAATCGTATTTTTTAAAGTAAACTATTCAATACATACATCAGCTAGTCAATACAAATACATTTTTATGCATAATACCTACATTTCATCCTCGTATACCAGATTATACGCCCCTCTCTACTTTGTGAGCATATTTATATTACTTATTACTTTACATACCTTTTTCTATCATAGACAGGTATTGATTTATTTAATCTAACCTAAGCTATTGCTGTTTTTCCAGATTAACAATGAAACAATCGTGCTGCCATATGACGATGGACTATGGAACCGTCTGAGATAGGATCATCCCCTCTGAAGGCGCCACAGGTGGTCATAAGGTGAACATTGTTTACCTATGATACATGTGGCTACAGTTCTCCAATCAAATCAAATTTAAGGAGACATGTTCACACAAAACATAAAACCTTGGCATCCCATATATATCCCTATGCACAATATATGGTTAGGAGATGGAATCAAAAGATACGCTAATTCACTACAAAGAAAGTCATTGTGAAGTGTTTTTCTGTGAAATTTGTGGACAGGAATACAAGTCCAGGACAGGTATCCTTTCTAATAAGAAAGGGTACATGACTTGAAGAAAGACAAATATGACTGCAAAATTTGTAAATGTAACTTTACAGACATGTCACATTACATTGGACATTTGAACAGCCACAGTGCTATCAGGTCATGTCTGTGCCAAAAATGTGGTAAGGGTTTCGCATATAAATCCAACTTAAATCGCCACATGAGCGATTGTGAGAGTAAATTTGTGACAATACCTTAACATTAAAGAAGACCTTTAAATAACATGTGTTTGGAAAGCATGAGAAAAATGAAAAGTACTCATGTACTTGTGGTAAGTTATTTATCTGGAGATCGACTATCAACAACCACAGGAAGAAATGTGCATTTTGATGAACAGAATACCTTTTTCATTAAATATTTACACCGCTGGTTTTGATAATACATAATATTTTATTCGCATGTATTTTGATGTAAATCGTTTCAACTATCAAATGTATCAATATTGCCTATGTAACACAAAAAAACACTTTTTAACGCATGCCTACCGCTCGATGTGTGATGTATATTAATAGTTTTTCTCTATGCAAGTAAATGGTCCACTTATACTTCTTTACCAAACAATATCCACACACTTATATGATGACATTTCCCTGAACAAAATAGAAAAAAAACATGAAATGAACTGTATATTGAGTGAAAAACGTCTGAAATATGTTTCATAAAATCGGCATAAATCTGTACACCTATGTTTTCTGATCGTTACAAATCACGGTATTGCACTCTGCCATTCCGTACATTCTAAGCATGCATGATCAATCAGTATTTTTAAAGCCATTTAACCATGTTAAATAGATTTCTGAAGTGATGTTTTATAATATATGTAAACATTTGTTTGCATTTTAGATTATCCAATAACAAGAAATTGCCCTAAACAGTAATTTTCACTCACTCGGATGTAATTCAGGTTTCATCTCTGCCATCTATTTTTTCACTGGATCCCTGTGGTTACCCTTGACCTACACTCTTACATGCATTCTCCCACTTCTGACCGAGTTTATATTTACTATAATACCCATAATATGATACTAGGATGGTTTATTTTACAACCGGCTATGTTTTATCCGGGAAAGCGGTATTTTATCTATAACCAATATGTACACCTAGCGGCTACAATCCGGAATTTGTCGGCAAAAATCGGTACTGTCATCGGTGAAAATCGATTCCAGCCGTACACCGGTTACAGGGTGTGTGTAAGGAGGAATTTATACTCGTACAGTCTCCCAACTGCCTATGACTTACTAAAGGAAACTCCGACAAGAACTTGTTTACAAAGCTATAGCGAGCAGTATAGAAGAGGATTTGTGTAAGGATATAGTAACTAAACCCTCGCTGAAGTATGTCAACGCAGCAGCACCGAAAGTAGGACAAGTTCACCATGTATATAGTAACCTCTCCGACAACATACATGATATCCACCGAGCTGAAGTGACGGCAAGAGCACTAACAGGAACGTATCCATTCCAGAGCAATAGTTCCAAGTTCAACCAGTATGAAATGGACCCAACCTGCAAACTCTGAGGGACAGCACTCGAAACCCGACAAGACTGCCTGGCTGAGTGTGTATTAGATCAAAACCGGATATTATCAAACGAATAGCTGATAACCCTGATATAAGTCTCGATATAATTGACTGCACCCACCCTAAAGTTGCTGAGATGACAGTTCGCAATGAGTGTTACTTCCAACTAACTGAGAGATATTGTAGGGTGAACATTTTTAAGACCCACCAAGAAAGATTATCTATTCTAAACTCCCAATCTTGATTTTATATTTTACTCTGTAACAATATTCTATGCAGTACCTACAGCTCTTTTATATTTGTTAAGTGCTATCGACTAATTGCGCAAGTCACTTCACAAAAACAACGGTTTATTTCTTACACACATACAAAATATTACATGCTTTTATTAAAGTAAATACCACAGAGCTTTATAAGTCTTATCAATGAAACATTATGCTGATGGACTGATAACTTTAACTTTGTGAATGCTCCTGAAGGGGTAATCAAATGACCACAGAACTGTCAATATGGACGTACATACCTGAACTACAGTGAAACTTTATTGCACTCATATTTGTACAGTATACAGTGTGTATATAGAACATTGTGCATGCATGGTGGAGGATTTTAAATTTCCGAAGATATAGGAGTACAACACTAGAGTAGGCAAAGCTAACAACAAAATTCAGTAAAGCTGCTGAACATCAAATCCTTTTATGAAAATGACTTACTAAGAGTCCAATAGCCACGAGGGAAAGGATACTGCAAACTTAAAATTTATTCTTCAAATATGTTTACTCATGGCATTAATTTTGTCGTTCAGAATATTCCGTTCAATTTCCTTACATATTGCATTATTGTCACACAATCATTGTTTCAAAGCATTCAAATATATATATGTTAACGCACGTTTAAAAGTCAACGATTTACATAACGTCATATTCTGAGGGAGAGAAGAGACAGTAAATAATTAATATAAAATATCGTTTATACCTGCCGCGATTTTTGCAAATATTTCTTTTGACAAAGTACCTTTGGATAAGATATCAACCTTCTTCTGGGTAAAAGCGTTAATCGAAGCCCCTCTTTGAATATTAAATAAAATATTGATACATGGTTGAGGATAATTGTCAAGTAAGTAATTACTTCTCGAGTCTGCTACGAAGACACTATTTACCACAAAGCTGAATTTTGGTTGTTACCACATATTCTACATCAGAAATGGGCAGGAAATTTGACGCCAGGTTCTAATGACGTCACGCTTGACAACAATACAGATTGCCATTTTGAATGGGTTTCGCATTGCAATTCTACTGTTTGATGCTTTTAAAAGGTAAGATTCCAAAACAAAATTGTGAATCTATGTAAATACCATAATATATACTAGTATATATGTTGCAAAGGTGGATTCACACAACCATTCATTTTTCCGTTGCTTCATCTAAACTTTAAACAGAAAGTCTACGCAGTGAATAGAATTTTAGAAAATATTAAGGAAGATTCTTCACATGTGAAGATATAATACTTCGTTTATATTCACTGCATTGAAGATATGTTTTAATCAAATTGATAATTCATGATATATCACTTGTAAAATTTGATGCTGTATGGGTTTACTATCATATTTTTGAGGATAGTATGCGGCCTCAATTTCCGAGAAGGCTTTCATGCTTGGGGAAACACTGGGAGTGGACAAAGTATTTACAGATCAACCAATGCGGCGCTTTGCGCCGCTTAGGGGTTTGAAAAATGTACAGGTTCGGGGAATAAAATACAATATATCAACGGGGAATAAAAAAACAATATATCAAGAATATGTCCTTCTTTCACGCTTCCACTGAAATATTTTACGTATCTTAAAACCTGTATCTGAATTGACATTGTTTTATAAAGAAATACCGCAAACTAGCAATAGTCAGCATTAAGTTTCGTTCAGGCACGTCTGGACCCTTCAATATACACGTGTCGAGTTTTCCTGAGGTCAGCCTCGGTTCAGATATGCGTCTGTCGTTTTCTTTCGGGTTCAACCGTTTCAACTAGTTTCGACAAGTCATTGGGTGAATTTCAATTTACAGAACAGAACAGATGGCATTCTGCCTAAGGTAAATGGAGTTCACCGGCAGAACTTGATTTGTTATATCCGTATTATTACATCTTTATGAAAATGATAATACTACGGAGTAGCCTTTATATCAAAAAGATATTTTCTCTACTTTCAGCAACCGTGACAACAGATGGACAGTAGAATACTATGTTCAGTATTTAGTTCACAATATTATCTGCCGCATGACTTCAAAAGGCTTTTTAGGTTATATCGGGAAACACTTGAGACCATTCTTCATCATTTGGCTACTATACCTGAACTTGCAAGGCGACAACGACAACAAAGGCTGGAAGATTTACTTATAACTCTGTGGTACTTAGGGGCAAAAATACTCTACATCGTTATATTTTCGGAGCTATTTGACTGACCGTCCGCGTGTGCCTTTAATTTCTTGAACTATTTAATTGTTTTTACTAATTAATATATACCAGCATTTATCCAACAACCACAGCATCGGAAGTCGTTAATATTTATTAGCACTGCATATCCCTTATTGTACTTGATAAAACTCGGAGCACAATGTTGGCAAATTACCGTGAAAACTGGAAGAGTTGTCACCTCTTTGGTTTAAAATATAATTTTCTAAACGACGCACAGTATGCAACATATTTTGAAGATGTTTCACATTGTTTTCATTAAGCCAACGTTAAAATTAACTTTTTCAGATGAAAAGAAAATTTATTGTTTTCATACACGTTGATATTCTGACATTACATTATGTACTGAACTTCAGGATTATTTGCTTCCGAACCTAGTAAACAGAGTAGATCGCACGGCCATATGCTACAAACACTAAAAAAGCATAAAATCAATTGAAAGGAGTATTTTTTAAGATTGAAATAATCAATACATGTAAGAAACGCCATGACAAATGGTAACCTCCATTTGTTTAATAAATATTTAAGTGAAATAACGCTGCATTATAAATTAGGATTAATAAGTGTGCTAACATCAAAAATGTTTGCTTAGTCTTCCATATAATCCTTGCTGTTAACGTTTTCTTGATAGGTGATTTATACAACATTACATGTAATTTATCGCTTTTCAGGTGTAGTGTTTTTCATTTCATATATAAAACTATATATTCATCACAGTACCTGGTGACGCTAGGAAAGCTGGCTTTATATATGTTTTGTATTAAATCATTTATCTTGGGACGGGATGAACACACTTATCATTATCAATCTATTAAACCTTACAAAAACATGATGCAGTATGTTGAGGAAGTGGTAGAATAGACCCAAAGAAATGTATACCATGAAAACCCCAACACCGACACGAACTTTAACAGCTTCACCGTGTTCGAAACTGTAGTATATCTAAGTGTGTTTTCCATTAAAATAATCCAAGGCTTATCGATGTCCTAAAACAACTTCTATATATGCTAAAAAGCATCTAGTTATTTTTGTTCCAGAAAACATGATATGTCCAAAACTGAACTCTAGTAGATGTTTATACTAATCCCCTTTCTATAATAATGGGGTTTACTCTCCGTTGAACAATCATTATAAAGAAATTCACTGCATCGCCTTGACCACACAATTCCCTATATTTCATTGACTAGTTAGTATAGGCAGTTTCTCTGTATTCAACTTATTTAATAACCAATCAATTAGTATATTAAACTTTTTCAGGGCGAATATATTCAAATATAAATAATGAACATCTTCATATTAAATCAAAGAAGACTAACATTATACAAGGATGTCTTAAACATAACAACTGTGTTATTAAAACAATAGCATCAAATACTGAAAAGAGTAAACATGGGGAAGATAAGGAATACATTGCTGACAGAGAACAACATACATATCCAATTTGAGGGAGAAATTGTAGCTACACGATAACTTAAACACCCTTTTTTTTTTACATTACCCAAGTCCAACAAACCGATTATTTTCTAAAAAAAAGGGTTTTAGCTGACAGTTGTCTTTTCTGTAGAAAATGATGAAATGTCTACTGAAGATATTGGTTATATCCATGAGGTTATAATGTATTGAATACGTGTTATATGTTTGAAAAAGAGCAAACCAACATTTACAAAACGACAAATCATAATTTAATGATATATCACTCACATTTTCGAGGATCAATCGGGAACTGTCGGCACTCTTTTAGTAAACGAGTATTTTCTCCATTCGTCTCACCTCGGCTGATTCCGGTACCCTTCATGTGCCGATATGTGGTGAGTGGTATTTTCTCGTCTACAAAAAGTGCCGACGGTTCCCGATTGTTTCGAGGACATGAACAGCCAGGACTAAACTGTAGGTCGACGCAACCATTTATATGAAAGTACGCTCATTACTCTTTCAAAATTTCGCTATATTCTTAATTATTACCATTTTTTTGGGAAAATAGGAGGTTAAATTTCATAATTGTCAATATGGCGCCGTTCTAGTATTGCTGTTCTTCTTGATTGTTTTCATTGAGATAAGGGATGTGATTACGAAATATGAACACACTCTTCGCACGTTTCATGTTGAAATTAATCTTTAACCTATGAAAGTTCGAAATTAAAAATATAAACACAGCATCATAATTATAGAAATGAGCACATAGAAGATAACAGTTGGGTTTTAGATTTAGAAGTTACAATTCCAAAAAAAAACCCAGAGAATAAACACATGTGAATCGCCATATATGAGTTTTCATAAAATTCCGACTCGGACGCTTTCCACTTGCCCCTTTTGTCAAGCATAACAATTATACAATTATGCATTATCATTACCGTGTCACTGTGACCTATAAACTAAAATAGGTGTACAGCTCAGTAAATAAAAATATTATTAGTGGTGGGGGACTATGGATTGTTTTGCAATACTTTGCCTTAATTACCCTTCAGTCTTGGGAACGGATGTATTAATAAGCCTTTAGCTTACAGTTCTATTTTCAACAATTAACATTTTAAAAATATTATTCAAGTACACGGGATATTTATAAAAACAAATACTCGAGATATGAGATATTTCATCTAATATAAATCAGATATCTTATATGATGAAACCGTGAAAATGATTGAAATCTGGTTGAGAATATTTGTCTTAGTTCAGTGGCAACTTTTTTCAGCAGACTGTTGGTATTTAATGGACATTAACTCTGCGCCACTCCTGACAGAGCTCGTTTTGTCCTCAAATGAGGTTGAAATGATTACAAGCTAACCGGACTGATAGCAAAACCTTTGCTTAATCCTTCAAATTCAAATTTGACCACGTCTATCTTATATGACCTTTAATGAACTTAAATTTAATGACTCTACAGACTGACTCGTCTACATCAGCTGCTTACCTCAATCGTATTTACTTAAAACGTGACAAATAAGGGACAAGTAACTTCTCGACTGTATAATAATCGCGACAGTTTCAATTTTCTAATCATGACCTTTCTTTTTCTTGATAGTTAAATGTCAAAGTAAATGTCATAATTTTCGTGATAAATCTTTACTGCCGACAGGCAAACTTACAACGCAATGTTTCGGGAGATACAGGTTGATAAAGACTATTGTAAAAATTACAGACAACTTTATTGTCATCATCGCAATCTTACTGAGAGGTGTTCTATTTTTTTATGATATGAAGGGCGATGTAGATGATCACGGTCATATAAGTTTGATCGATGTGTTGTCGTCGCTACACAAGTTCTCATCAGGGGACATGGTATTATTGGACTTGACCTAGATTACATGGCGGATCTCGCCGATGAAGCCTAGTTTGCCCTACTTTTAACTATTTCAGTTCGAATAACGGTTTTGTTAACACTTCAGTATTTTCTTCATTAAACGCCATGTTTCACATCTTTTTGACAAATTTATATAACTTATAATGTAAAGGAGAAATTATCTGTTAAAACAACAATTAAATACAAAGTTAATTTAATTACATTTATGATGTGGGTTCAGATTTTATTTAGAACTATTTTAAAATGCGGATGTACTTCTTAGCTTGGCCTCAAGTTTTCTTTTGCGACGCATAATCTGACTGGATTACCGTTGCCGATGTAGGGATACACATCACGTGACCAACAATAGCGTCACTTCAGCAACTTTTTCTCGAGGCCAAAGGTAAGACGCACATTTCAGCTTTTGTTCCCATCACCATCCCCTTACTCCGCCAATTTTTGTATAGGAGGAATATTTTGTGTAAAAGGCGTTTGGTGGCGGCGGTTTTGCCCCCCTCCTTTAATAGTCAAATAATTGTTTTCATTCGGCATAATGCCTATATGTATTCAGATCAGTAGGATGTGGCATGTTTTACATGTTGTGTATACATGTTTTTCTTTTACGTTGTTTTTGGAAGAAACGACGTGACATGTTTTGTATACATGATTTTATTTTACGTCGTTTTTATAATAAACGTCCTATTTCAATTCATGCTGTGGTATTACTGGTTTTTATTTGACTATTGAACTTTTAATAAAAGCTTGCTGTATGACTGGATATTGAACCGCACATCATAAAGAATATGATGCATCTTATGAACATGAAATTTGACTTAGAAATCAGTTAAATAATCAGATAATATAATGTTCATGTTTATTTGGTGGGATGTATTACATCTATAGGTCCTTTGTAACCTTATGATCAATGTTTGCGACAAAACAATATATAAACCTCTTGGTTCAAATCGAAGATTGGGATATTTTAAGGAAATTATTTATTTAGTATTCAAAATATCGTCAGTGACTCTAAATCATGTAAGTATCTGCATGACCAGTAAGATACACACTGTTCAATACAGATTTTAAAAATGATAACCCAACCAAATCCATAAGTTATATCTTTTTATTTTTTCAAAGTTCTGACAAATCATTGCCGTGTAATATGTTGGAACCTGATGGCGTCTCGCCCTACATAATTGCACTCTTGAAAATCAAATATTCGATCCCTGTAAAAGTAAAACTATCTGCATTGCAAGTAAGGTAGCAGAGTACAGTAGAAATGGCCTGATCCTAAAAATAAAGGGCATGTCCCAGATAAACACGGATAGTTGATTCAACCTGCAAAACACACCTACATATATATCGATCTATTTATAATCTACATTTTGATTACATCAGTAAATACTCACATTTTAGCATAGGTCATTCCGGGGGATTTTTCACAATATTTACACATGTGCTGAGTATAAAAATAGACAACATGAAAAGCTAGCATTTGTTGTGTAGACACAGATTTGTAAATGCCCAAAACTGTAGTCTCAAACCAAATTCTATTTGGTTTTGAAAAAAATATGAAGCCCCACATAGTCCATTTCATCATGTATATGCCAATTTTAATATGGCAGGGGGTTATTCATTGTATAAAAAATATCATCCATGACCACCGTACGCTACTGTACACTGCTACCTAAGATACAGACTAGCTTTTCAATAAAGATTTTTTTAAATGACAACCCAACCAAATCCATTAGACAGATCCTTTTGATTTTTCAAAGCTCTGACATAAAACTGCTGGATAATGTTAGTATCCGCTGGTTTCGCCTTCGACATAATCGCACACCTGGAAATCAAATATTCGATCCCTGTAAAAGAGAAGATTGTTATGTAAGTAAGTTATGGTATTATACTAGATAATGTATTGTTTACATGTGAACTTAAAACTTATTTTTGCTGACGTGTATAGCTTTCCTTATTCTTTTTTGTCATATGAACTTGCCATTTTAACGCCTTATATAAAGTTAAACACTACCGCATTTTGTTTCGCAAAGTTGTATGTTTTGTATTGTTCTCTAAATATTGTTATTAATGTTTCTGAGACGAACAATGTGAAATATCATTAAAAATGTCCATGAGCGTTTGGGTCATATCTTTCATTATCTCATTATTTTTTGTTTTCTCCAAACAAGATTTCTTATGAAGATAGATAACTCTGTTATATTTTGAAAATCATTATTTGGTATGATGATTATTAGAACGGCGATTTCGATAGGCAGAATGGTACAAACTGTTCGTCTTAAAAATGACATGTATGAAAAAAAACAAAAAACTTTTTCTTCAAGAAGATATGGAGAAATATTGTATATGGGATAACCAGACCACTGTTCTACATACTCAGGGTGGTTGTCATGGATACTGATCCAGCCGTGGAAGTTCTGGTAATTGTGCGCTGTTGAGTAACTCAGGCCACCGTCATAAGTGTTCACAAATCCAGTATCGTGACAATTGTGTCTAATGCGACCTACAAAAATCAATATCACATTGAATTAATAGTAAAATAATTCTATTAAAATCGACGTTCTCGGATTTTACCAACCACTTCGACAATTACAATTTCATTTGAAAATAATCAATATATGAAAGAAAATGTTTCCTTCCAGTCGATACATAGAATGCTTGTACCATTAGTCCAGTCAATAGATACGATAGCAAAACAATATATTTACCTTGCATTTCACAACACTGAAAGGCCCAACGTCTGTCCTCGTTATGGTTGCTATGAATACTTCTTACGCCATTAATGAACCCATCCCCAGGACATTCATAGTCAAACGGTTGGTCGAATTCGTTCACATACCCTGCTAGATATATGATATTAAACCGAAATGTTAAAACTACAGTCAATGAAGGACAACAATGCATGGCTAATGTCTTCAGTAATGTTTATGTTGTATTTATAGCTATTTGTGAACGTAATGAAAATAAATAAATTGCTTAGCAACTGGTCCTAGTTGTACGAACTTTGACTTAAAAAAAAACGTTAACTTATATTGTTCTATTGGAGAAAATCGTTTGAGTTAAAGCGAAAACCTAAAGCTAACAAAACTTCAGCAAATTCGATACAATGGAAAAAATGTAATGTCCTCCGATGTCGTATTCAGATATATCAACGATCGATGTGTAATCTTTCGATAACCAGAAATGCATTGACCACGTCGACTGTATATACCCTCCTGAGATTAAAATCAAGGACACTACAGACTTTTCTACTCCAGCTGCTTTCCTCGATCGTTACCAAGTTGTATTGTGTATCAAAACGATTTGGTTTTTCGATTGTGAATTTCCTTTTTCTTGATATTAACATTCTTCCCTCTCCAACCTACGCTGTTTCCATGTCGGGTTTTTTTGGTACTAAAGAGCTTGCTATTTTAATTATGCCTTCCGATATAGATGTCGACTGTTGACGGACAAAACTTACGACACAGGGTTCCGAAAGATGCAGGTAGCTGAAGATTATGGACATGTTTGTATGGTCGCCAATATAATCTCATTGGGGAATATGTTAAATTTTGTGTGAAGGTCGATTTTTTTATAAGTTTGTCATTAGTGTGGCTTTGTTTTCGTTGTCACTTTCCTGATTTATGCCAAGAGGACGTTACTTGGTTTTGACATAGATTTACATGGCGGAATGTTGTCGATGAAGCAGAAAACGCTTATTCTTTCGGAACACCTGGTCATATTATCATGGTACTTTTTCAATGGTCTCTATGTAAATAATTAATTCCTTTGTTAATGTTTTGTTTTAGATTTATCGATTTATAGTTCAAATTATGTTTTTGTTGACACTTCGGTATTGTCTTTTGATTTTTAAGGAATGTTCGCGAAACAAACTGGGGACTGATTATTTCGATAGGTCGATTATTATTAAAGCGTTGTTGAGTTGGTATATCCGGTTTAAAAAAACAACAAAAAAACCGAAACGAAAGCATTGATATGTCGAACTTCACAATCAGAAAGAAATACTAAAACCTTGCCAGGAAAATACATTTGTTCAAATGTGTGAATGTAATTTGGTGGCTTTCCAACAAGACATGCCAACCCCCGTTTGATATGTGCCTAAATAGCTGCATACATATCAACAATCACGCTTGATTGATGTTTTCATCTACAGCCTTTCATCAGTGAGTGAATGATCCTCGTATAGTGTCACATCCATAGATTGATTACGACATGATTCACAACAACTGATGACGTTACTGTAACATGACATCATTACAACTAAATACAGTTGGTACTACATAACGGATAGGACCATTCACTCCTTGATAAAGAGTGACTGTTGTATTTTGACTGTACGATACTTTCAGTTCTTCAAAATCCATATTCAATTAATTAGACTTCAGAATGTTTTAGAGACAAAACGACTGTATCCCTGTTTCAAAATTGGCAATCAGAAGTTTGGTTTTGATAATTGCTCAGTGGAGTAACTAGCAGATCCCACGACAAAACGCCGTTCATATAGTAAGGGCGTTAAGACGTTGTTAAACTGTGCCTAATAATATTGCTATAGCTTGCGGTAATAAAATGTGTTTAAATATGTTTGGACAAATAGAGATTTTGTGGAATCTATTCATTTCACGGCCTTTGGAGAGATTATGTGTCCGATAGTTCGGATTGCAAAAGGAGTGTACTGATGAAAGAAAGAAGTGTACATATTTCCTTTTCTTTGGTTAGGACAATGGTTAAATTTGAGTATTTACGCAAATTATTTTCAAAAATTGCAAAACCCATATGTTTGTACCTGTCCACTGGCAGTTTTGCACCGTGGCTACCGCGGGATAACAGCCCATCGACCATACTCTGTCTTCGTAGTGGTTGTTATTGGTACTAGAAAGACTGCGTAAAGTAGTGTTTCCTGTACATGAAAAGTCCATTGGGGCGTCGTAGTCATTGACATTGGAGATAAGGAATGCTGACGTCACGGAAAGACCAGCAAGCAGAATACACACCATAATCTGAACAAAAGTTAATAGGAAATGTTGGGTATACGTGAATTAATAATATAATATAATAATCAAAAACATATTGTACAGTGTCTTAACCTGATCTCAATCCACTCCCGAAGCCTACTTAGGTGTGAAATTTGTGTACATATAAACTACACTAAACGCACCTGTGTCCAGTGCTGACAGCAGGAGGCCCAAACCACAAAGGGATGTCAGCAGGGGGGGGGGAGGGATACCCGATGTTAGTACGAAGATAAGGTTTCTTCCAATTTTCACGACGTCTTCCAAAAAGGCTGTTTTAACAGCATTGAACATATGACGTCACAAATGTGGGCAAGCCGTATCGAGGCGATCGCCGCTGAAGCAAAGGTGTTTTTTTCAGAACAAAATCACAATAACTCGGAAACGGAGGCCGTCGTGACGTTCGCACTTTTTTAAGCCTTTTGTGGTATAATATATGAAGCATACACAAGGCCACAAAGGTTAAGAGATTTTCATGGTTTGTACCATGTGTTGCAGCATCTTTCTAAAGCCAAATTCTTTAAAGGTAATGCTTGTAAAATGGTGTATGAAACGTTACTAATGTTAACTATGCGTTGCCCTTTATAAACAAAATATAAACAAACCGACCTATGGATACATTTGACATTATGGATAATTCCTCTGGCTCACTCCATTTTATTACAACTATTTAAAACAAAACATTACCCCGTTAAGATAAACCTCCATTAGGAGAGGACTTATATAGGCAATGCCTGATGTCCAATCCTGTTGACTTCTTTTGTCAATAAAATATGTTGAAATTGAATTTTGAAACCTCCATAAGTATTTCTATTCGAATAAAAAATATATAACTTAATATCAGTTTGGGTTTACTCCAGATGAATATGCTATCTTAACTATAGAAGAAGTGTTTTTTTTACGGAAAACCTCTTGACGTAGGTAAAGAAATGTGTGTCAGATTATATTTAAAATCTAAAGTTCAAAAAGATCTTTTTTCGCTATATTCAAAATGGCGTACAGCCTTGTTATCAAGCGCAACGTCATTAAATTACGGTATTATATCCCCAAATGTCTTGATGCTATTTTTGTTCAATAGTTTGAAAAGAAATGAATAGAAAATTCAATGTTTTGCCATTGGAATATCATATATATATTTCACTCGAATGTCAGAATACACCTATATATTTACCATCGCATGGCATTTCAATTATATAACACTTCCAAATTCAGTTGGCATTCATATGAATGTCATGGATATATGTTGACGTCTTCAGTTTTATGACGTCATAATTATTACGTAGGATACCACTGACTCTCCCCAGGTGATGACTGTTCTACTCGTTGAACAAGCATACACGAAACATACATTATTTAGACTAAGTGCTGAATGATAATAAATGTTATTTAATTTTTAAATCAGATGAATTTATTTCAAAAGTGATAAATATAAGCATAGACAATATGAATTCGCATAGACAAAAGCAAATCAAACATGAAGAACTAGCGCGAGCTTCATTGAATTTACCTTTGTTCAGTTGGAATATATATATTGCCTATGAACGCCAACTGAAAGCAGTTCAATAATTTTGTGAATACCAATACTCTGCCATATTTGTAAAATATACACAGTATAGTATTCAACGGGAAACCATTAACTTTCTTCTATTTATTTAATACTTTACCTTCATGATGATGAGTTGTATTAGGTATTTTACTAATCGTTCAACGGCAGGTGTGTGGCAATGGAAGTCAACCAAACAAACTTATAAACAATACCAGGAAGTCCAGATAAGATTATCAGTAAAAGATAAAGCAGACACCGTGTCAGTAGAGGACATATTTGCTAGCTATATCGAATGTCCTCAGCTGGCCGTACGCGTTTTACGTACGTAGAACCGAACGCCGCGTAACAAATTAAACGGTAAAACGTCCACATGTTTCCATTGTCTCATATTCACATTCAGTTAGAGTCATGCTACCGGATGAAAACAATCCCTTTTCTGCCTACTTTGGTAAACGGTAGTCCAGAGGTTATAACGATTCTGACATTGATAAACTAAAGTCAATCCTTTTTCAGTTTTATGCTTGACATAATGTTTTGGTGTCTCTAAGTCTCCATATGGCAGACTTCTGACTGTCTGGTGCCTTTAACAGTCCACAGAAGCCAGAAACCTGATTTTCCATGGGACCGACATCAGTTGTTAATGCCAGACCAGTTATACGGGGCTATCCAATAAATTATGTTACTATTGTCAGGAATCACATGCATTATGTATAGAGTTTGACATTTATATTACAATCCCTAAAGGTTATGATTAATTGCAAGCACAGAAATCGTTGTTTGCTGCCACCTGAACTGCCAACCTTATTAGCAGAAAAAGTATAACAACCATCGTTCTAAAATATTGTTTTCACAGCAGTAATGTTCTTCTTTGATGAACAACTGGCCTGTCTGACCGTGTGCCATGTTTGATGTCAACTTTACCATTCTTTCACCCAACTGAAAAACCGTACTGTGATGGTATAGGAGCCTTTTATGTTGCATAACTTCATTTATGTGTGTTATCGGTAAATGTTAAACACACCATGCTTTGATATAGGAGCGTATTTCAGATTAAGTCTCAACCTTCCTGTTAGCATTAAAAAGTAACCACTTGTGTTAGGAATGGACAGCTACTGAACACTGTACAGGTAATGAAGTTAACAATGACGAGGTATTCGTGTGTATGCGGCATGATCTATGTTCATTCATGCATGAATGCATATTGCGATCTTATTGGACAGTTACATGTAGCATGGCTTCTTTTGGATATGCAGATGCTTTTCATGCCTAAATACTGATGTAGTGGGTCCTGTATATTTCACGTGAGAACATGTTATTCTCAGGAGATGATGCTACTTCTCTCAACATCACATTTGAACATCTTTAATGTAATGAAATATTGATTTATGCAACCCATCGAACATAGAACAACAGTGATAGTTTACTAAACTGGCACTTAGATTGCATGCGTAGAAAAATTACCGAAGCAAAGTGTAAGCAATTAAAACCTCAAGCAACACCTAAACCAACACTGGTGGTAGTTCCAGGAGCTAACCACTACATTCGTGAAACATAAAGAAATGTCTAGTGGATTAAATGGACAGGTACTGGACAGCTACAAGTATTTCTTTGTACATTCTCCTATATAATGTACAACAAGAACAAAGGATGACATCACAACTGTGTTTTAAGTTGCAGTGAATGGTGGTTTTTTTTGCATTAACTTTCTGATCATTAAAAAAATGCACATGAAGACGGATGACAATATGGACTCTGAAAATAGAAAAAATAGATAGGACACAAATGAGGACTAAACATGATCAGCCAACTTCCTTAACCGATTATATTTTAAAAACGTAAATTTTCCTGGTTTTGTGTAAGGAAACAATAGGCTTGGAATCATATGTTGCTGAATTTTCATTTTATAAGATATTTAGATTCAACGAGTGTTAAATCCAGCAAATGCTTATAAAATTTGTCTTTAATAAAACATTGAAAACCGCTGAAGCAATGTGTTTTTTGTTTAATAGGCTGATTTACATGTACCTTGTTAATAGCGAAGTAATAATTCATTTAAGGTTTTACATCAGTATAGTAATAATAAGTGGGACGAGCAGAGTGACAAGTGTCCTGTAGTCGGTCAGCTTGAAATCATACAGACTATCGGTCAAATTAAAATTGCTATTATTATGAATGAGGGAATTGTCCTGCGTTTCTGAACACATTCGTATATCAAGTTTTGGAGAGGACTGATAATTGCTGCCAACTGTAAACCTAGTTTTCATTCGTCGCTTATGCTAATTAAACTCTTGACATACTACTTTATTTACTGGTATGACTGGCCTCAAAGTAATTAGGAGTTAATAAAATATTTTATTTCATATATCGAAAACAAACAAATCACAAGTGTTTGAATTATTTATTACAAATTTAAGACCATGCATTATATGCAAACATAGAACACAACTGAGCATAACACATATGCAAACTTGTATCATCAATCTTTATGAAAAACATAATTTACCTTAAACCAAATAAAAGCTATAAATATTAATCTTGAATAACTACCTCACGTTTTTTGTTTGTCAGTCGGATGGCTGTAAAAGGTTTTGTAAAAAATCATAATAATGATATATATGTGCAAACGCAGAGGTAGGGCATTGCGCTGTTTAACATCAATATACAAAAATATGTTTCCGTACTAATTTAAGTAAATGGATAACCACATTATGATTATTTTTACACTTCCATTTATTCTATAAGAAACCATTAAAAGTAATGACTAGCTAATGCAAACCAAAACGGTGATGTACGTTATATATATACCGTACACAAATAGCTTGATATGACCTATCTTAAATGTGTTGGTCATCCACCCAGCACCTTTCCTTCTTTATTATAGAACAACGGAGATTATTGAGAGTCCTACAAAAGCCAAAAGCTTTTCAGTATGGAAATGCTAGCGTTTCTCGAATTGAGTAAATGCGCAAAAATATGCCTGCACGCAAACATCTACAAATGTATTTATAATTTATATTGATTTTAGATCCAGTGCCAAAACAAAAATGTTCATATCGCTGTCAGTAATGAGTCACAATATGAACATCTCCACGTACGAAGTTTCTTTTGACAACAATTTATAAAGCACTAGCAATTTGGTGTCGAACAGAAACGTGCATGTAGGACGGACACGTTGGTCAAACTGTAAAAAAACGAAAATAGTACGTACGAAGGCACATCAAACAAAAACGTGAAGTTTTTTTCTGGTATAGTCTCATACATAACATTCTTTATTACTTTTCCTTTTATATTCAGTTAAATTATCTTTTGCACAACACATGACATTCTTAATTATTTTTCCTTTCATATTCAATTAAAAGTCTCCTGTACCACGCACAATTGTCTTCATTACTTTTCCTTTCATATCCAGTTAATAGTCTCCTGCACCACATATAACATTATTGATTATTTTTGCCTTTGATGTCTAGTTAGCAGTCTCCTGCAAAATACATATCGTCCCTCATCATATCTTCTGTCTTATTCTAAGTAGTATCAAGGTCAGCGACGACACATGCCTCAGCCGTGTTGGACAATGAGGTATCCTACTTAGAAACATGGTCAGAACGATGACCTAAATTTCTTTCAAAGCAATTGAAGCGTTATAATTCCATATTGGGAAAACGCTGAAATTCTGACTGTAACAAGTACGAATTATAGTTACAGCTCTAAGTATATAAGGCACAACAATATCAAACTTTTTGAAATAAAGATTTTTTAATTAAACACACCACGACAAAGGGATACTAAGGCTGTAGATGTGCCTTTGTCAAAAGCCTTTGTTTGTAGAGCGTAGATATAGCTCACAACATGCGTTTATATCTACATATATGTGTGAATAGTGTGTATGCAACAAAATTTCGACATATTAATCAAATATGTTGAAAAGAAGGTTACATTTCACAATTCTTTCATAAAATGCATTTCACTTTCGTTTCACATACTATACAAGACGTTAGTTATTAGGTGTGGATAAAAATGCATTTATGATTAACTTAAGGAAAAGACATCTTTAAATACTATATACCTGGCATAAAAGTTCAAAAACATATTAGGTACAGAAGCTTCCCTTCGTGAATGTTCACGTCTTTTGTTTCCACCTTATGGTTATGCTATATTCAACATATTACAATGTCTTAGTAGTATAGTTGCAGAACAATACATAATAGATTAACCTACATCTTAATCCTACAGCTAAGCTTGTCTCACTGCCAGAGTGTGTTACGTTGTACAGTAAAACTCTTCGTCATAATCTCCAAAAGTGGTTACTTTAACGCGTCCAATTGTTTCATCGCAGCATTTTCACTATGCTTGATCTTAAGAGATTCCTCAAAATAGTGTTTAGCTTCTGAAATCCTCTTTACAAGCTTCAAACAATAACCTAGCCAGTTGTAATACATGTACAGAACCCCTTCGTCACTCGACTCTTCCACCAACTTCTTGAATTCCTGGATTGTTTGGTGAACATCCTCACCTAACTTATGTTTACTTATGATAAGTAGCAAATGATAATATAATGTAAAGTTACTGGTAATGCGACCATCTTTACTGCCCGAAACTTCGGCAAGTTCGTACTGAATGACCTCTGGAACTACGACCTGTTCATCCTTTGTTATATCAAACGGGAGTGCCATGAATCGCGTCACTTTCTCTGCGCGTGAGAACCCTTTGTTACATACTGTCTGTTCGTAATCACGGTCATTGGCGTTGATTTCTATCCATATTGAAGATTTACATCTTCTTGTTAGATTGATTACATGACTTCCGGTGGCATCAAGATCTTGGAGGATCTCAACAGACCTTTCAGGTTTTTCAAGATGCAGATATAATGTAGCCATCTTGAGTTTGGCAGATGACATGTCAGCATTAAGGCCCTCCTTTAGCAAGTCTTCAATACGGGCAATTTCAGTTTGGCGGCTGTTTCCAACATTGGGTATGTCTCTACACAGATGACAGGCCATTTGGAGCGATAAATATGCCTTCAGCACAGCCTTGATGTTGTCGTCCAGAAGGGGACTCGACCGCTCGAGGAGGTTGACGATTATAGTGTTGAACATATCCAGGTCAAATGGCTTGGAAGTCTCGGTAGCATGTTGGAATAGTCGACGCATTTCATAGTCTGAAACAAACAACTGTATAGTGAAGAAAAAGAATAAGGAAATAGATTAAGAAAAAAACTCTCGGAAGTGTGTCCGCCTGGTGCATGCGGTGTGTGATTGAGTTTGGGCGTGGAATTAGTATGTCGCCATTTGATCACATTTCATGCAGGACTACTTTCCAATTATGTGACATGGGCATACGCGAATATTTCATGAATTCTCGTCATTCCGATAGCACAAGTCATGTGGAATGGAACATACCAGCATGTTCTAAGAATCGGCATTTTGACCATACTGTAAATTTGAAATCGGATAAAACGGTGTTTGATTAAATCTACTGAGGATTCTAAGAATGTTATATTTAAATCCCATAGCCCTGACTATCGACTTTCAACATGCAATAAGAAACAGGTTATTTGGAAGGGATATACAGACTGACAAAATAATGCACCTGTATGTCAAGTACTATTTTAAGTTCATGTTTGTTCTTTCCGTCTGTCATTTCAGCTTTGGTTTAGCATATCATAGTCTGGTTATTCTGCATCTTCGAAATCCAAGGGCTCCGCTTTCGATTAATATTTATTCTCTGCACCCCTGGATATGTCATGACAAAATCTAAGCCCTAACGCGTAGCCATTTGATTGTTTTCAGACATATATACTGACAAACGCAAAAATGATACCTGTCCTTTGGAGACGACTGATGAGCTTCACTAAAACCAACGGTGATTAGGTTTACGGTTATGCCGCTGCCCGATTCCGTTTAACTTGTATCGAGGAGATCAAAAGTAGGATGGAAACCGTAAATGTTCAGACTGATCATCTTGTCTGATCCGCAAGGTGGCAAGTATAGAATCTTCAATTTGTCATGGCATATGTATTCCAAGAGTGAACAGAACACATGTTTATCAATGAGGGAACCTTTGGACTTCTTAGTTGTATGTTCTGGGACACTCTACTTAGATAACAACATCTTACTGTATAATCGTATACAGCGACCAGTGAACGACTTTCTGCAAATCATGTGAATTTCCTTTTGGCTCTCTTATTTGGAACTATTAGCAAAGCTAGATACATGAAATGTTAACTAGCGACGAGCTATACTCTGACACATAACGCATAAGGAAGGGCATGGCAAATATAGATATCGTTCACCAACTGTATAGATGACATAGCCAGACTCCTAAGTGATATACTTACGAGATTGTTAGAGATTACTTACAGGTATGAAGAACTTCTTGAAAAAAGGCAAAGTCTAATCTTCGTTCTTCTTCAACATCTGTGACGCACATCATGGCAAACGATTGTTGAAGGTTGCGAAAGTCCTCCGCTCGCTGACAGAACGGCACTAGTTGTAGGAAGTAGCTACGCCCAGCTTGTTCTATATCATTTAGGAAATTAAGCAGATTAGCTAGAAGGACTGGTGTCATTGCCATAAACAAGTCGTAGCGTTTGACAAAGAAATTTGGACATGAACGATTTCTTGTGACATCCAAGAATTTTCCTAAAAGCAGTTCCATACACCTTGTGACGTTAACCTCCATCCAAGTGTCGAGTGGGTATTCCTGTAAAAGCCAAAAAAGACAGTGTTTCACAACCGTCTCGTTGAAGACAGTCTTTAGCGAGGCTGGCACCTTCTGATCTATGATGGAAAGCCAGTATCCGTACACGTTCATCTGCGTTTGATTAAAAGACTTGACAAGCTCTCTCTCGGGCACAGCAAAGGACAGCATGAACACCGTCTCCTCGTCATTGTCGTCATCCGACGGTACTACGAAACATCCCTTCCTCACCATCCTGTCCATCACTTCCTGGGCGGGCCATCCGCTCCTGCGAGGTCTCTGGACCATACTGAAAGACGCCGGCGGCCATGTCGAACATGGCAGACACGGCACCAGGGGCCCATCATCAGCTCCGAAGTTGGGCCCGGCTATAGTGTCTCTTGCAGACAACGCGAGCTCCTCAGAATTAGCGTTCTTGAGGCGTTGGTGGGACAGGTACCAATTTCCATCTTTCTGTATACACAGGTCATAAATAGGCTGATTGCGGGACAGTCCGTATGTTATGAGTTTAAGTGTATAATGTGTCGCTTTCCCAGGAACTTCCGAAAGTGAAAATGAATTTGGACTTCGTTGGGAATCATACATGGTGCACAAAACCACTAGCTTGTCACACGTTTTAAAGTATGAAGCTTTGCTATGCGTGGTTCGGAAACCTTCCCCTCGAGGTCCACATTCATGTATTTCATCTCCAGCCACCATCTTTCGTTGGCTTTCACGCGCTTCTCGAAACTTGTACCTCAAATCCAATTCTCTTCTAGACCCGTAATGTTTTCCTAAGTTCAGGGAGATGGCTAGCGGCAGAAGGAGGTTACTACCGTCGTTTACATCACGTTCTATCTGATCGTCATGCATTGTAGAGTCATGGTAACCCTGCAAAAAAAAAAAGGACATCTAAGTTTAAAAGTTAATTAAATCTCGGGAAAAAACGTGTTTCACTACAACAAAGGCAATACATATTTTATTAAACCGAAATAAAACAATAACTTTACGGTAAAGATGGTAACGTTGACACGTCATTGTTGTTTGTTTCAGTAACTCTCAACTTAAATGTGGTGGTTGTTGAAAGAAGGAAATATGACTGAAGAAATTCGAGCGCGGTAGAGAACGCGATGTTTCTCCGCCATAGAATGAAAAATATCCAATCAGACACACTGTTATAAAGATGAAATAGAATGATAAGGTTTGAGCAGTAGCCATGGTAACACAACACAATTATTCGTCATTGGTAGTCGGATTCTGACATTAAAGTCATATTCAAAGTTAAAATATTGTTAAAAAGACTCCCGTTGGCCTAAATATTTTGTTGTTTCGATTTGAAGTGGAAGAAGCCACGTAAACAATCAAGAGGCCCATGGGCCTTAACGGTCATCTGAATTTAACAGAGACTAATACTATTGTAGTATACATACTCAGTAGCAGTACAGTGGTACTGACAACAATTGTGATTGTGCAATACTGTATGTTGGCCATGGCGGCCATCTTGGATTACTGAGCAAACCGAAAAATAACAACACTTGGTCAGGACCATCTCAGGATCATTTCAGGAATGTAAGTGCTGAATCCCAATGGTGGAACTTGAGAAGAAGTTTGAAATGTGTTTTTCAAAATGGCGGCCATTGCGGGTATCTTGGATTTCAGACCGAATTGAAAAATAACAACACGGGGTTTTGAAGATGGAGTCCATGGTGGCAATCTTGAATTTAGGTCCGACCCGAAAAATAACAACACTTGGCCAAGACCATCTCATGATAATTTCAGGAAAGTTTGAGCTGAATCCCACTGATGGAGCTTGAGGATAAGTTTAAAATATGTGTTGTTCAGGAAAACCATGATTGTGCAATCATGTTACAAAATGGCTGCCATAACTGCAGTGTCGAAGTTTTAACCAGGCCGAAAAACAACAACACTTTGTCGGCTTCCCGTCCTTAACATTCCAACCAATTTCCAGCTCAATGGCACCAGTGGAACTGGAGAAGAAATTTAAAATGTGTTTTTAAAGATGGCGTCCATGGCGGCCATCTTTGATTTCAGACTGACCGGAAAATAACAACACTTGGTCAGGACCATCTCAGGATCATTTCAGGAATGTTGGTGCTGAATCCCAATGGTGGAACATGAGAAGAAGTTTAAAACAGGTCTTGTTCAGGAAAACCATGACTGCGCAATCATGTTACAAAATGGCTGCCGTGGCTGCCATGTCAAAGTTTTTACGAGGCCGAAAAATAACAACACTTTGTCGGCTTTCCTTCCTTAACATCCCAACCAATTGCCAGCTCAATGGCACCAGTGGAACTGGAGAAGGAATTTAAAATGTGTTTTTTTAAGATGGCGGCCATCTTTGATTTCGGACTGACCCGAAAAATAACAACACTCGGTTAGGACCATCTCAGGATCATTTCAGGAATGTAAGTGCTGAATCCCAATGGTGGAACTTGAGAAGAAGTTTAAAACAGGTGTTGTTCAGGAAAACCATGATTGCGCAATCAAGTTACAAAATGGCTGCCGTGCCTGCCATGTCAAAGTTTTTACGAGGCCGAAAAATAACAACACTGTCGGCTTTCCTTCCTTAACATCCCCACCAATTTCCAGCTCAATGGCACCAGTGGAACTGGAGAAGAAATCTAAAATGTGCTTTTCAAGATGGCGGCCACGGCGGCCATCTTGGATTCTTGACCGATCCGAAAAATAACAACACTTGGTCAGGATCATTTCAGGCTAGTTTCAGCTCAATCCCACTGTGGAACTTGACAAGAAGTTTAAAATGTTGAAAGTTTAGGACGGCGCACGAAGACGGACGAAGCAGGATGACTATAGGTCATCCTGACCCTTTGGCATCTGTGGATTCAACTTAAGGCCATCAAACATCATATATATAAATAACTGACAAATGTGACAATGCACCGGACAAAAACACTTAAAATACTTCTACAACCTTCAAAATACCAATAATAAAATGTCGATTATTATTGAATAACAACTTAATATCCAGTTTTAGAATTCTTGAAAAAAAGGACGCAAGAAGGTCAGACTTATATCCCCGACTGCGCTAAGAACAAATGAATTGTTCTTTCGAGAACGTTTTTTTAAACAATGGGGCTTAAGTCTTAAGGTAACTCTAATTGATAGACTTCATTCAGACTCCCTTGGTGTAAAGGCTATATGCACCAAGTAGCACTTTAAGAGAAGTAACGCGAACAGCATTTTTAAACAGATGGGCATAGATATAGATAGGGGAGGTTGCTCTAATATATGTAATTTAAACAGAGAATCATTCAAATCCGTGCAGTTGCTTGGGTGGAGAAGTGCAAACATTTTTTTTACAAAGGGGGCATAACTCTTATAACAAATAGCCGGATCAAAATTAAAAAAAAAAATCCGTTGCACAACTTGAGAGTGCGTTCACTAACTTCTCTGCATCAGCGAAGTTTCATGAAATCAGTTTGGGTTGGCTAACTTTTGTAAGAAGGGGAATCACTCTCATAAAAAGTGCCGGATCAAATTGTTAATAAAGGGTGCACAATTTCTGCTAGGGACGGACACACAATATATACAATCCGTTTGTTCCTCCATAAATTATAACTTAACCCCCTCCGAAATGGGGAACGGGTGACCCGGACTTCTGATAAATCACCCAATCCATGAAGTGAAGTGTATTCGATTAAAAAAATAAAATTCCGCCAATACGCTTAATTGACAAGATGACCACGACAACGTCAACGGGTTATCAGTAGCCTAACGTTTTACATAAAAAGTAACATTACTTTACAATAATAGTAACAATATTCAAAAAGGCTTTTCTTAAAGAATTTACATGGATTGGGGTTGAGAAAAGGACCCTGGGATAAAATTGGGGAAACATGTATCATCAACATATAACAAATTTTGGAAACTTTAATAATCATTACAACAAATCTGATTACGTGAAGTCGGACTTAAATTTTTCTAATCAACTAGAACCGTTTGCCAAAGACTTAAAAAATCCTTGCTATGCCTTGAAAATGGCCGGGTAAATACGCAAAAAAATGCAATGATTGTTTGACAACGGTTTCAAAATTGCATTAAAGTTTGTTAAGATTGTATCATTGTGAATTGTTCAGATACAACAAGTTCTATTTGTGACTAGGACTGTTCCAAATAATCGGTTTGCTTGTGCTTTACGTCATTTTGACAGCTATGGTCATTTAACCCAAAATCATCCATGCAAACGCAAATAGAGAATCGGAAAAGATGATCGAACCCGCCTAAAAGAACTGAAGGACGTATAAGTATCGGCCAATCAGATCCCAAGCAGCCATCGATGCTCGAAACTAAAAATTCGGTCTTTCGACATCAATAACCACTACTCATCACTCACACACAACCCCATGTGGTGGGCAGGTGACAGATATCCTTTCACGTTCGAACGGGAAATCGACCCCTTCACATCTAGATGAATAAAGAAAAGTATGACACTGGATAGACGGACGACGGACGCCGCGCCACGGCATAAGCTTACTTGGCCATTCGGTGATTTAAAATCACAGTGCGCTGTCCACTGCGTCACCCGACCACCACTCACCGCACAGCCTCAACAAAGTCAGGCCAAAAAACCTTCAGACCGTCATTGTTTCAGTCAATCAGAAGATACGGTGGCCATTTTAATCTCGAATATTTAAAGTAAATGCCACACGTATCATGCCTACAAATCACCATTGTAATGTGACAGAGAAATTGTACTTACAGTACTAAAAAGGGAAAATAACTAAGAACAAAACTGACCTCAATGCAAAGTGTACAAATAGATGATGAACCGTTCATGTGTAAAAAGTTTCTTTGAACTTCGTAGTTATTTGAAAGGAAATTCTTCAAGCCAGACTTTTGACTCTTAATATCAAACATTACATTGTATAAAATTGATAAAAAAGAAGATTTGTAGATGTTACTGCAACTTATGAAGCCATCTTCTATCAAGAATTTAAATGATTTCATAAAGTCAATTACAAATCACTAAGAACATTTTGTTTGTGGATGGTCAGATAATGTTCGGCAACACTTTTTCTTCACACAGAGGAAAAAAACGACTCCCAATATACCCCCAACTTTGGTAAGGAACATTAAAAACCTAAAATAGATGCAGTAAACCCAGGTAGACCATGTTTGTATGATCATTTATGCATTGATATGTATGGATTTCACGATTGGTATTTTTAAAGGGGAAATTGGGGAAAAATAATATTTTCTTTTGAGAATGGATTCAACCGACGTAAAAAATATAGATGAATTATAATTTCAAATATCTTGATATTTTTTCGTAATATAAAACATCTCGATTTAGAAAAATAAATATATTTTCCTTGATTTGTAGTCATATGTTTTGCCTGTTTATAGTGCAGCTCAGAACACGAGTCGATAATACAAATAGATCTATTATCCTCATATAGGCTATTGGTTTTGCATTTCATCTATATATGGGGGTGCCCTAAATTATCTGCCTCTTTCAAATTTTCAAGTCTACTGAGCAGACATACGGAGTCTAGTCAATCTTCTTCTTATTTTGAAATTGGTTATCTATGAAACATACTTTTCAAACCTAAATTTACATTTAAATTTTAGAGTTTACCATTGGAAAAAGTATGTTACTAACTTTTTCACGTGTCTTAAAAAAAATTCTGATATTTCAGTAGACTAGTGGATAGCATGCTATTAAATTGGCCGATAAAATGTGAAACACATTCGTCTCACTCTCTAGTGATATTAAGTATGTATGAGTGTAACAGGATAAAGTATGTGTAGGTTGTGTAACGTGAAGTACAAGAATTTCACATATGAACATTATTCGAACGCACCTTATTTGTCTGACGGTGCAAAGCTAACATTTTGTTTTCAACATT